TGAAGATTCGAATCTTATCTTGAGGATGAAGATGAGTTTATATTGATGAATACATTATTCACTTATATCAATAATATAAATGTTAGCAATACGTAAGAAAAACAAATGGAAAGATAAAATTGTAAAGAATTTGCATGACATAGACATTTTTAATAGGGCTGCGGATTTAGAGAAATAAAATATTCGTACCCACACTCTCAAGAAAATATCTCACAAGTATATAATGAAAATTGATGTCCTAAATAAACTTTCTGTTTTCTTTATTTTTTTGTATTTTTTAAATTCATTTCTTCAACACATCGTTCACATAGACAATCAAAAAACCATTCTTTTAAAACGTTTTGTCTTATTTCGAAATCATCATTAATAAAACTATCATAATTTATACATAATTCTTCATCTTTTTTAATATTTCTTAGAAGTTTGAAAATAACTTTTCTCCCTTTTTCAATATTAATTACATTTGGATTACATGAATGATTAAAAAACGAAGCTGATGGATATAATGAATATCCACTTGATACTTTATTTCCACCTGATTCATCATCCATTGACCAAATTCCATAGGCATTAGTTAATCTTTTACCAATAATTGAACGAATTATAGATGGAATAATATATGGCTGAAGTTTTCTCAATGTGGAAAATTTTAAGAATTTATAAATTTTATTAGTATAAGAATGAAGTAAATAAGGATATTTACGAATTTTTTCAATATCATTTGATTGAATAAATTGAAAAATTTGAAGATCTAAGGAAGATAAAGATACTGATGATAACTTATCATTTTCACAATTATCACGTTTATACATTTGAAATAATATTCCAATAATATATTTAATTTCCATATATTCATCTTCATCAATTTTAGGTATTAAATAAGTCAAATTATTTAAGTTTTTTCTTTGTTTTAATTTTAATTTCGACAAAAGTATTTGACAATTCATTTCAGCTTCTTGCCATTTCTGAGATATAAATAATTCAATATCTTTAGTTTGTTTTAATTCAGCTTCTTCTTGTTGTTTCTTCTTTTCAAGATCATATTGACGTTGATTCAATCCTTTAATGAAAAGACGTTCGACATTCAATAAACTTTCTCGATATAAATCATCAATATCCAAAGCAATAAATTTCTCCATACAAGTTTGAGAACAAAAATAAAGTGCTAATGAACAAGCAGATGCAGGAGTAGACATAGATTTAGTTTTCTTATTCGTTTGTGACATCAATTTAAATTTTAAAGTTTTACCATGTACAAATTCCAAACAAAATTCACAAACTTGTTTTCTAAAAGTTCGAGCAATAGTTGAACTAAGTGGCATAGAACATTCATGAATAATTGTACCTTGAACAAGATCAGTATTGGCAAAACAACCACGACCATTATACTTTGTTGGTTTTACAGAGAAATACGATGAAATGGAATTAAGAAGAATGGTAGTTTCATCAACTTCTGCTGATGACTCAGCAGATGTGATGGTTGAACATAAAGATGATTTCTGAAGATCTAAATGGGTCAAATCGTCCATTGAAGTAGATAGACTGCTGGATATGTCGCTATCAAGAGACTGATTCCACATGATGAAGTAAAGGTTAATCGTTTATCTATTGTAACTGGTGAATAAGTGAGTCTTGTTGAAGTGCCGTGAGTTATGAAGATGTATAAGTAGTTATAGTGTCACTGAAAAACAGAATAAAATTAAGGTAGATCTTAATTGTATCTACTATTTGTCATCTGAAAATCAAATGAAAAATTTGAAAATTTAAAGAAGTACACTATAACAAAGGATCGGTATTTAACCGAACCCTTCAAAAAGGTTTCGTAGGCGTCTAATGCTTTCAAACGCGTTCAGAAGCTTAAAAAAATGGTTGTTAAACTCTACGAAACCTTAAAAGGGTCGGAACTCGAGAACACTTTCTGAACGATCTCCTACGAAAGCCTTTTTTAAGTTCCGTACAGCGAAAAAAGGCTTCGTAAGAAAATACGGAACCCTTATAGTTTTGTAGTAAACCATATGGTTTCGTATTTTCTTACGAAACCTTTTTTCACTGTACGAAACTTAAAAAAGGTTTCGTAGGAGATTATTCTGAAAATGTGTCCAAGTCCAGATCCTTTTAAGGTTTCGTAGATTTTAACAACCATTTTTTAAAGCCTTTGAACGCATTTGGAAGCTTTCAGACGCTTATGAAATCTTTTTGAAGGGTTCGGTTAAATACCTATCTTTTTTTACAGTGTAATCGCACACAAATAATTAATATGAAATTTAACCGTATTTTTTCTTGGCATATTTTTAAATTATTTGATAACTAATACGTAGAGGTACTCGAAAGTAGTGGTGGAGGTACCTTAGTTTCATCTGGAAGACTTGAGGAAAT